CTGTTGGCGTGTTGTTTGTTGGCGGCGTGGCACTGTCATCGCGCGGTGCGCTGTACGTGGACGGGCTGTTGGTGCAGACGGCGCTGGGGCTGTGCGTGTCGGTGGAGGGCGGTGTTGCTGCCAGCGGCGGCTCCGTGGTGGCGTTTGTTGACAGCGACTTCCTGCTGTGCAAGCACGCGGTGTCTGTGCGTGGGGCTGTGAGCGTGTCGGGCTCCGCTGTGGCGCTTGTGCGAAGCGAATTTTCGTCGACGGAGGAATACGCGGTGGCGTTTTATTCGACGGTGAGTCTGGCCGGTGGGTCGATGCTGCTGGCGAAGGGCAACGTGCACGACGGCGTCTCGAGGGAGATGCTCTACGCCGCTGGCGCCGTGACCGCTGCTGGGAGCACGCTGAGCTTTGTGCACAACCGAGCGCTGCTGCCGCGGATGGTCTCGGTGAGCCTGTCGCTTGCGGCTGGGGCGCATTTGAGGGTGGCGTGCAACGACGCTGGTGGACGTGTCCTGTCGACGGCGGAGGAGTACGCAGCGGCTGGTTTTGGCGACGCTGGGAGCATCGACGTTGCTGGGTGCGACGCCTGCGACAGGGACACGCACTGCTATGCGCCCGGGACGGCGTCTGCGACCATGAGGAACGGTGTGTGCGTGTGCTTGTGCGGCAGCGGCGGGTACGGCGAGGCGTGCGTGCCTGTGGGTGCTCCTGCACTGCCGCCCGCTGCGGGCACTGCGTCGAGTGTGTTCGTCCGCGAGGGCGTGACGGTGCGGTCGGTGTTCGTTGTGCCTGCCGGCGCGAGCGAGGTGACGCTGCGCCACGTTGTGCTGGACGGCGCGAGTCCTGTGCTCTACGTGCCGTGGATGGTGCGAGACGGCGTGCGAATCGTTGTGCAGAACGTGTCGCTGCTGAACGGTGCCGTGCTGTACGTGATGGGCGGTGGAGCGTTGCGCGGTGCGGCGGGGAGCGACGAGAGCGGGCCGGTGGAGCTGTCCGTGTGCGACGTGGAGGCGCTGAACGGTGCGCTTGTGCTGACCGGCACGTATCCCGTGGGGTCTGTGCTGACGGTGACGGACTCCCTGCTTGTTTCCGCGAGGCCGACGTCGCTTGTGTATCTTTCCGGCTCGCAGTCCTCGCCGTACGCACCGGTGCTTGTGCTTTCTGGCCTGCGGCTGGTGCGGTCCGTGCTGGTTGTGTCCGGCGTTGCTCTCGTGACGGTGATGACTGGTGGGCGGACGGTGGCGGTGGACGGCGCGGTGCTAGAGCTTGTCGGTGGCGGTGTCGCGCTGGACGCGGCTGTGCTCGGTGGCGAATATGCGTTGTACGCGAGTGCGCGCGTGGTTGCGTCGGAGGGCGCTGTGCTGCGCGTGTCGGGGAGCCAGGTGTACGCCGCGCATGGGTTGGTGTTCGACAGCGGGGTGGCGGCCAGCGCGTCCGCCGTCGTGGTGAACGACAACGCCGGTGTGCTGACGGATGGCGCGCTGCTGGTGCTGCGGGGGTTGGCGTCGTTTGTGTCCGGGTCGTGGCTGTCGGTGCGCGGCAACAGCATCCGCGGCAGGCTCCTGTCGGTGCCGTCGTACCCGCGCAGTGCGGACCTCGTGCGGAGCACACTGACGCTCCACGGGAACGCGGGCAGCGGGACTGTCGTGATGGACGGCACCGTTGCGCTTGTAGGCACCGGCCGACGGTTCGTCGTGGGGTGCCTTACGCTCAACGAGCAGGCGCTGCAGCCGATGGACTACAGGTCCGCCGGCATCATCGGGGAATTCCGTCCCGTGGCGTGTGGCGTGTGCGATGCCGACGTGCACTGCTTTGCAGCTGCGACGAGGACGATGTCGGGGTCGTGCCGCTGCCGCTGTGCTGAGGGCGGGTACGGGCGCGACTGCCTGCCGGTGTACCTGCCGCACGTGGACGGGTGCAACCGCACACCTGGCATGCCGCCGCTGAGCCACACGGCGACGCTGACGGAGACGCGCAGCCTGACGCCGACGTGGACACCGAGCCTGAGCATGGCGCACTACAGTCCGACGCATTACGGGCCGACGGAGACGCTGCAGGTGACGGAGACGACGGCGCTGCCGCCCACGCGGACCCCGACGGCGTCGGTGAGCGGCACGCTGTGGTGGAGCGACGTGGCGTGCCCGACGCTCGCCGTGACGACGACGGCGGCTGGTGGGAGCCTGACGCAGAACGACATCCGCGGCGGTGGGAGCGCCGTCCCGACGCGGCTGATGGTGGCGCTGCCGCCGCCGTTTCGTTGGGCACGCGACCCGCAGCTTGGCACGCACCTGAGCTTCGTGCCGGTGTCGACGGGGCAGCCGAGCGGTTTCGGTGGTCCGTGGGGAGCGATGCTGAGCAACGCGACGTGGGTGCGCAGCGCGACGAATCCGTCCACCGTCCTGGAGCTGGCTGTGCCCGTGCACCGCGGTTACTTCATTGGTGCCGACGAGACGATAGTCATTCGCTGCGACGCTGTGGCGGTGTTCGGCGGCTGCAAGGGTGTGCTGCTTGGGTCTTTCACGATCGCGTCCGACACGCTGCCCGCCGCCGCCAGCGCCCTCTCGGCGATCACCGGCGTTGTTGCGGGTGCGGCGGCTGTTGCGGTGGTGGTGACCGGCGGGCTGGGCTCCATCCTGGGGATGCAGGCAATCGGCGTGTTTGCGAGGATGTCGTGCGCCTCGGCGCAGGAGCGTGCGAGCACCGTTGCGCTGCCGTACTTCCTGTCGGTGTTCGCTGCCCTTGACCCGCTGTGGATGGTGGTGGGCAACGCGCTGCTGGCCGCTGTGTTCGGGTGCGTGCACTGCGGTGTGACGGCGGCCTTCCAGCGGTGGCGCGGCGTGGACGCGGCGAGTGCGTGGGCGGCGATGCGCTTCCCGAGCCTGACTTACGTCGTGGCGCACGCGATGCACCTCGGCATCTTCTTCGGCTCCGTTCTTTCACTGGCGATGCCCGGCGCCCGCGTGCAGCACCGCGTGATTGGTGTCGTTGGCGTGCTGTACGGTGTGGCGTTCCCTGCTGGTGTGTGCTACTTGATTGCCCGCCACACGGGCGCGAGCTTCACGAGGTACTGGCAGTTTTCGAGGAAGCCGCTGCACGAGCGACTGCTGTACCCCGTCGGGTATTGGCACCCTGCGGCGCAGCAGCGGATGTACGGCAGCATGCTGACGAGCATGAGGGGCAGCCACGTGTACTGGTGCGTGTTCCAGCTGTCGGTGCTGTGTGTGGTGTGCCTGATTGCGGCTGTGCACCCGCCCTTGGGAGGCTGCCACGTCCAGTACTTCTGCATGGCGGCTGTGCTGCTTGCGGGCGCGGGCGTGGTTGCCTTCGCGAACATGATGCGCTCGGCCTTTCTGACGGTGATGCACGCGGCGGGCTTTGTGCTCCTTGCGGCGCTGTGCGTGGTCAGCGCGGCGAACCACCTTGCGCCGAGCGACGGCGGTGCGAGGGCGTACGTGGCTATCGTGCTGCTGCTGACGACTGTGGTGCTTGCGGTCACTGTGTACGGCATGGTTGTGTGGTACGCGGAGGACCGCCACTGGCAGGAGCTGCGCGAGCCGCGGCGTGGTGGGCTGGAGGCGCTGCTGCGCGATGACGAGGATGGCGACGAGGACGCGCAGAAGCCGCACGAAATGACTTCATTGTCGTACGCCTCAGGCACCACCGTTGCGTCGTCGTACCGACCACCCGCACCACAGCAGGAGCCCATGGCGGTGACACCCGCTTCGACACTCTGAGCCTGTTCGACGGTGCATCCAGTGCGAGCTGCAGCGTTAATTGTGCCCCTCTGGACAGGTGAAGATGCTCTGCTTGACGAAAAATGTAGCGCAGTTTCTCCTTTTTGGGGTGGAAAGGCTCCGCCCACCAACCGTACTGTTACGCGGTGAGAAGATAAAGCCCTCGCAGATGCGGCATAACGTGGATGCTTCTGGCAGGTATCTTCTTTCTTTCCATTATTCATAGATTGATTGGGTGATTGCTTCATTGCTTTTATTTTATTTTATCGATTATCGACGACAACGGATTATTACACTATCACGCTAGCCCGGGGCGGATGCGGAAGGGGTGTGTGCGTGTGTTTTGCGCCCGCCGCTGCAGCACCGTGTATGGGGGCTGCTGCTCTCTCTCTTTCATATCTATACTGTGTAATGAGTAAGTGCTCGACGATGGTGGTTGTTGTGCGGGCCATAGGATGCATTCAGAAAAGCGTTAGGGAAAACAATCGATGAGGCCCTTCTGTGACGCGCCACCTCCTGGAGGTTGTGAGTGTGCGTTGCTGGCTGACATGAGGGAGGGCGTGGGTGCCACGGCTGTGCGGCTGCGCAGTCACCCATCGGACTCCGCCCCGACCGCGTCATTGATTGTTGGTTTGTTTCTATTTTTTTGTGCGGGTGCCTGCAGTGACTCTCCCTCCTGTTGCACGAGGACCGTGTGGGAGGGCATGCTCGTCGCTCTTTATACTTCTGATGTTGTATGGGAGGAACGGCAAAAAAATATGTGGGATGACGTTTTTTTTTTTGCGTATGTGTGTATATATTTATCGACGTGTTTCTGTGGATTATTTTATTATTTCTTTCTTCTCTCCTTCTTTTTACGTCGCTTTACACTTGTCTCAGTGTTTGCTTTATTGCGGTCACACACGGGTAGCTTGAGCCGCGAATAGTTTTTTCTTTTTGATGTCATTTTGTGTTATACGCTGACGCGGTCACGTTCGTCAAGTGCCCACTTTCCACAGCATGGCGTTTGATATTTTGGAGTCATCTCAGATGTAACGCCGGCACCGCCGCCGTGGCAGTCATGGGAATTAAGATGGAACGTGGGGCAGCGAAATATATTGTGCTGCACATGTGTCTGTTGCATTTGCTCTGTTGAGGAGGTCTTCAATTCAGAGGAAGAGGGATGGACACTGCACGATGCTTTGGCTTGGAGGAGTTATTACCCTTTTTTATTGTTGGTATGATCTTTGGTTCCCGCCCGTGCCTGCCCCGATTGCTTCCCCTGAGTGAAGCTGCGCCATGGCCATTATTATTATTATTTTTTTGGTTGTTTGCAGGAGGAAAAACACGTTGCGAGTGACGAAACCACACTTCATTGCATGCGGCGTCCAGGGAGGTACGTATTTTAGATGGAGTGTGCATATGTGGATGTCACGTGAGAAGGAACGGGGGATGACTGATCAGCCGTCACTCCTTTTCTGGAGAGTGTGCTCCTCTTTTTTTTCTGTTGCCCTTTTGTGTCGGGGCACGGCGGGATTGGGCAGCACCATCCCACGAAGGGCCCTGCACACATACACACTCTTATGCCACTGTCGCCCCCGGAGTGGGGTGCAAATCCAATTTTTGCTGCTTTTGCATTGGCGCAATTATTTTTATTTATTATTGGCTGACGCCACACTGTCCGGCGTGTCACTTTGATTGGATTGTGTGGGACTGCTCGCCAACACCATCGAACGAAGCAGGCCGACGACTTCCCGTATTTGAATGCCATCTTGCACGCACGTATTTTTTTCACTTGTTCAGTTGACGTGCACTCTGGCAGCGAGGGATTTGGAACTATGCGTGCGTGGAATTCTTCCTTCCATGTGGACTGCGGGCAGCACCGAGGGGCTGTCAATTTAACTCCGCAGAGTTGTTGTGTCTCT